ACCAAGAACCAATCACATCAAGGGTGGTGTGGTGGTAGTGTGCTTGAGCCCCGCACCTTACTTCATATAAAGGTGGTTCGCAGAAAATGCATCGAATGACTGACAACTGCAAAGCATTGTGGATAAACCACGCGATATAAACTCGCATACCTTGATCTTGCAAAGGCGTAAAATTCGGGTTCCGTAGTTTTTTTGTTTGTTTTTTTTCGTTTGTTCGTTTGTTTTTGTTCTATTTTTTTCTTGACAAGGGAACTCGAATCGTTTGAGAAATTCGAATCCCGCCTTGAGCTCGACATTTTTTTCCGAGAAAAAATTGACTTTTTAGCTTTCCGAGCAACAAAAACACCTAATACTTTAAAAATTCGACATCGTTGCCCGTCGGGATAACAGAAAATACTTGGCGTAAATAATTCTTTCTGTGGTTGATACTGACGGAGTTTCTTTATATTTGGCGAGAACTTTTGTTGTTTGTGGCCATTCATTTTTATGCCCTACTCTCGCATTCGTGCGCGCCACAACGAGGGCAAAAGCAGAGRTTTTTGGTTTCAACGCCGAAAAGCAACTTGCACGAAGCACACTTTAAAAGCAACCGCATTAAAAAAGTTTTGTAAATATTTTAGTGCATAAGTTTGAAAGAAGATTAACCAGTCCATTCTCGAGATCTAGCCTGCGTAGCTCGGCCCTAGGGGAGGGGGAGGGGAAATAGGGGGGAGGGGAGAGGGGAGATTGACTATTGATGGACTAATCCCATTTATATTACAAGATGAAATAATTATGACTCCCAGCTTATCTAAGAAGAAATGCTACCCAATCAGAATCGAGAGAATTTGCAAAACTGAGAAGTCACTTTTCCTCTCCGAAATGGCTTTTCAGGCCAACAAAATAAAATGTTRCTAATAAGCACTTGTTAACAGAAACATAATAATCGATGAATCTATCGCAATGGAGGAAATATTTTTATTTTTTGTTGTTAACTTTTTTCCACAAGCTTCGTGACACCTCAGTTTAGCAGTGAAGTCATTCATTTTTGAATGACTTTTTCAGATCAGTCACTCCTGACTGTAGTTTCAAGATATATAAGAATTATTCATGAATTATCATATATTCTAATAAACTGGTAAACCTTTGGGGTTATTTTTTCTCCAGTCGTCGCAGCTTTTCTTTCTTGTTTTTGTTGTGATGTTTTTTCCATGGTTTGTAGATCATACCTTCTGAAGTCATCTGACCAACTCCATCCATCTGTCCTGGTACCATGACAGGTGCGCCCTTAAAGAAGTGACGAACCTCTTTCTAAAAAAACAAACAAATAATATGTTCTTATTGACTGAGTGGGAAGGCCGTACGGGAAAATATTTGGCTCGAGGTGATGCCGTAAGGACCGAGCGTCCGTACAGATGGCCGAGAGCCAAATATTTTCCCTTACGGCCCGACCTAACTCAGTCAATAAGCATTTTATCATATGACCCTTAATAAAAAATAAATTTAAAAGTTGCAAATTATGTCAATACGGTCGCAGGTTTCGACCAGGGCCGTACGAATCCGAACGGCCCTGCTCGTTCAAAGCCGTACAGCYCTGCTCACGCCATTTTATTCCCGAAGGTTTTYTTAAGAGCGCGCGCACGGGCAGATACGGGTCATATGATAATAGACCATATGAAAAATACGTTCCCACTGAGATACCTTATTTCATCAGTTAAAAAAGTCCGCAACATTGCTTTCATTAGAAACTGGAGCATATCGAAATTAAAGATCTTCCAAAATTTCAGTGTATTAACATTAAATGATAAAAAGCTACAGCTTTTAGAATTAGAAAGGTTTRTATGGAAACAACAACCAAGGGCCTACCAGCCTCGCTATTATAATTTTGGTACATTTTAAATGCTTATCACTCTGCAGGGATTCAACATAAGACAACAGAACTCTCTGAAAATACTTATTTAGACATAGTATTTCTTGTTAGGAAAGCCATACAAAAACTGACTGGTCGAGAAACTCACACTATCACACAATTATCACCTCAAGCGATAATCCAAAATGGCGGCCAGCCGCTTTGTTGCTGTTACCGGAAAAAAATGCCTTTTATCTTCTTTTTTTTTGTTTTTTTTGAAAGAATCACCTGTGTCTCGGTAAATATTCCCCGATATTCACTTCGCCTTCGGCGAATAATTATTAATTAATATACCATATCAACCATACTCACTTTAGCGAAGAATTCTTGATCAACTGAGCTGACTTTTGGCTGAGAATATAAGAATACTAACAGTTAAATTCATGAACAATCCATCAGATACATAGGAGAAAGGTAAAAAATAATAAGACCGAGCAAGTGGAAGTGAATGTAATGAAAACGGAAACAAAGAAAAATGGAAAAGAACACAGAAAAATGAGACAAAAAATGAAACAAATTAGCAGGCAGGAACTACTGTATCCCGTAGGTTCTGGTTGATAATTACCCGAGCACCAGTTTTTGTACTCAGCTCCATTCTCTTCTTGTCCAACAGGTCAGCGAGATCGGCATATTTTCCTGTAGAATACCGACCTTCTTGGAATTGAACACCTTCGACCCCTGGGGGAGGGGTACAGTAGAGTAGTTTGCCCTACGAAAACATGGTTTTCCAACATTTGAATCATTTCATTGAGATCATATTTCCCATATAAGAATCCAAGCATCACATCGTTATCTCTAAAAGTCGTTTTACCGATGAGAGCGCACGCGCGTTTTGGCGCGAAAGTTCCCGCCAAATTCACAGGAACCCCATCAGCATGGAGAGAAACAGCTTGTCACAAAGTACTTTTCTGTAATCGTCACATGGAACAGTGTATGGAAATGTTTAAGCTTTTTAACTATTTTATCATAAACAGAAACCGAATTGGTTCTTTTTTTGGGGGAGTGGGTTGGGATGGATGGGAGGGTGCGTTCGTTCATCTCACGTTACAAACTACAAGCTACATAAACAGATTCCCTTATTCGTGCGCATGACCATTCAAGTGGTGTGAGTTTAATCTCGTACCCAGAGCCTGCGTTTCTTCTGGCCTGCAGCGAAGAACGAGGGCTCTGGCAAAGGACTTTGCTCTGGCATAATCCATTTTTTGGCGCATGCGCAATTTTCGAAAAACAGATATATAACCGATCAAAATAATCAGAGTAAAAATTAAATCAAAGCAAAAATCGAAGTAAAAATCAAAGCAAAGATCATAGAAAAAACTAGAAATCGGAAAAATATTTTTAATTTTTGGCAAGTCTTTGAACACATSCGCTCTTGAACCGGAAGTCCAAGAAATCCTGGTCTCAAAAAATGGATTATGCCAGAGCCCTCGTTCTTTGCTGTAGGCCAGAAGAAACGCAAGCTCTGGGTACGAGATGGGTATAAGGTTTAACAAAAGGGGCTTCTGGGACAGTTGAGTGTTTTTCCTCTTTTACTCCGACGAAGGACTAGCGTCCGAAACGTCAGTTTTTTCATCTTTT